TTCAGGTTCAGGGTTCCTCTTTGCCACTTAATGACTCAACAACCAAATTTTAGAGACGTGTAACATTCTCTCTGGACTCTTCGTGTTCGTGGGTGAGGTTATTGCCCCCACTCTCAATTTTCTTTAAAGGTTATTTATTGTATACGCAATTTTATTAGTTTATAATTTTTTTTAATATTTAAAAATATTTATTTATAAATTAATTTTATTTTATTAAGTAATAAATGTTAATTATTTTAGTAATTATTAGTAATTTTTAACAATTAAATTAAAATAAAATTTTGATAGTTTGAATGACCTTAACAATTTTAAGAGCTTTTTGTTAAATACATTTTACTTTACCGTTATGAAAAAGGTAGAGTTAGCTAATGCTTAAAATTAATAGTTAGTGCTTAAATAGTTCAATAATAATTTTATTTTAATGAAAGTAAAAGGTGATAAATTTAAATTACATAATATGCAAAAAAAATGAAATATGATTATTTTTTATTATATAACTTAAGATAAAAAATTAATTAATAGTTCTCTTTTAATTTAATAAATAAGAGCGTTTAAATTATTATTAAAGATATTAATAGAAAAATATAAATAGAGAATATTACTAACATTTAATCTTACAATAATTATTAACTATTAAACTTTCAATAATTATTAACTATTAAACTAAATAAAGTTGTTAAGTACCATTAGTTTCAAGCTTAACACTTCTTAAAAATACCAACGAGAGATTGGATCAAGTGGTAAGCGGCTTGTTCCAGTTTAAGTAATGTCTCGAGTTTGAGACCTTGTATATGCAGCAGCCCCCGCTGGGAGACTCACCCACCATTTCTGGGTGCGCGACGCAGGTCGAGTCCGAATTAGTCGGGACAAAATCTCAGATACCGGGCGGGAATCCAAAAAAAAAACACTTCTTAAAAATAGAGTTGTAAATAAACTAAACTATTCAACAATTATTGGATTCAAACTCGAGTAAACTCAGCTTTAAGTTTGAGCTTAGAATTAAATTCGAACAATCAAATTAAGTAAAATTTGAGTCAAACTCAATACTTATCTCAACTTAACTCAATTCAATTGTATTCAATATTTAAAATTTCATTTTTAAATTAAATTCAACTAATAAGTTAAACTCATAAGTTGAGTCTATAGCACTGAATTAGAGTTCAAGTTTTAAAAAACTCGACATGACTCATTTGTAACTTTCTTAAAATATGTTTTGTTTTTTTCAATAAATCAAAAAATATGTATATATTATATATGTAAATCAATGACACAAAAAATATTAATAGAAAACAAAAAAAAATTTTAAAAAAGAGAGCATCACTAATATTTTTTTCATAAATTAATTAAGGCTATGTTGAATTTGGAGGAGAGGTGTATAATTTATTTCACTCAAACTAAAAATGCTAAGTGTTGATTAATGCAGAAATTGAAACATAGCTACTTCTTATTTAATGCTGTAACAATTTATTGTTAACAAAAATTGTCTAAATTAATGTCATTTAAGCCTACCAACCTACTTCGCTTTTATGTAAGGGTTTTTTAATATGTATGGTGTAATTAATTTATTATTTTATAATTAATTTATATGAAAAAGGACATGTATTGATTTTAAATTAATTAATTAATTAAAATCATTTATGTATCAATAGTATTAAATTAAATGTTAATTTTTATATTTTTATATAAATTAATTATAAAAAATACGTATATTATACTTAATTTTATCTAACTTGTGCACATAAGTTAAGGAAGTTTTAAATGCACTTTTCATACATTAATTTACATAAAAAAAAAATAAAAGAATTAGCATTAATTTTAATATTTATGACATATATATTTTTTATTAGATAATTGATAAAATTAATATCAACTTTTAGTTTTACTATGTATATTAATAATAAAAAGGTACAATATATACACTTTTAAGGCACATGATAGAAAAACTTATTATATTTTTAACCTATACCCTTAAAGTATAAATTAAATAAATTCTTTATGTAAGCCTAATAAACTCTTTGTTTGACTTAGAAATAACAATTTATTGTGAAAATGAATTTATATTTAACAATAAAAATAATAATATAAAGATCCATATTAATGGGAATGTATTAAAA